CAAAGAGACGATATTTTATTGTGTTTGTTGACAATTAAAAAATCCAGTGTTTAAAACGTAGTGAATTTTTTTTAACGTATTTTTAATTATTTACAAATGCTAGATTTTTAATTTCCAGCATATTGTACTTATAAATTAATATATAAAGTATTAAAAATTAGAAATTGGATGTATTATGATTGCCGTAAAGCATCTTTCTTACGGAAATCTTGAGAATTCGTTTAATTTGTTTTAGTATTTTAACTTAGCGGTGTTTGTCGAGAAATCCGTATGGTTAAAATATTGCTATTATAACCTTTATTTTATTGTTATTTCTTTGATTTTGCTATTCCTAACATGTGTTGTTGTTTTTAAATTCCTGTCTTAACATACTTTTTTAACATTCAAAATGCTTGAGAAGAGAAATGAACATTTCCTTTGAGAATTCTTTGTGTGATGAGTTACTGAAAAAAGCCAAAAACTTTAGGTGTTTCTTAAAAAATCCACAGAAACCAGTAACAGAACGATAAAAAAAAATCAACAACAATAATAACAACTTAACTTAATCAACACCTGATCACTCGCTGAGAGATTTATTATTAAAACAAAAGTTTTCAATCTAATCAATGGATCATCCTCAGGTTATATGGAACATTTCAAAAAATAGAACAAGTTCAAAATACAAAATACAGTAGAGCCTCGAAAACTCGGCACTCGATAACCCGGCATTCCGGATAACTCGGCCACACCTTGGCAGGGCAAAAATTTCCTTAGATAATTAATTTTCATCATAGACAGCTTTATGCCTCATAAAGTATTTTTCTGAGGTCTGTCTTATCAGGTAAATTACTGTACACAGTGTATTCATTAATTTTCATTTTCATGCCTTCATAAAGGACATACTTTTCCTTTGTTTAAGGGTATTTGGGCAGTTTATTCTCTGTTGTATTCTCAAGCAAACAATACATACAAGTACAGTACAGTATTTTCCGAGGAAACATGCATACTTATCCTTTTTTAACCCCATTCCTGATAACCCGGCATTTTCACAAACTC